CTTTGACAAAATTCAACATGCATTTATGTTCAAAGTCCTAGAGGGAATTGGACTAGAGGGAACATACCTCAACATAATTAAAGCCATACATAAAAACCCACAACCAACATCATTCTAAATGGAGAAAAACTGGAAGTATCCTGTCAGATCTCTTTATCTATCCAAATACCTATCATTTTCTTCTTCTTTTTTTTTTTAACAGAGCATAGGATGAGGGTTTATTTACAGAGGAGTGGGTGCTCCCCATTTATGGCTGCACTGGGAAGTCCACACTCATATATAGATCCTGTGACTTCCTGACAGTCACCAAAAATGGTATAGAGGTGCCTCCTGTCATTCTCGGCTTATATATCCTTCACCCCTCCCCTACATGCAGTTAAGGTGGACTGAAAAAGCAGTAGCCTTTCTATATACCAATAACAACCAATTGGAGAAAGAGTGCAGGGAAACTCTCCCATTCACAATAGCTGCAGATTATATCTACATCTATATCTACATCTACATCTACATCTACATCTATCACCTTGGAATAACCTGACCAAAGACATGAAAGATCTCTACAATGAAAACATTAAATCTTTGAAGAAAGAGGTTGAGGAGGACTGGAGAAGCTCATGGATTGGAAAAATTAATATTGTGGAAATGACCATCCTACCAAAAGTCATTCACAGATTCAGTGCAATGACCATCAAAGTCCCCATGACATTTTTCACAGAATTGCAAAAAACCATTCTAAGATTCATATGGAAGCACAAAAGACCTCAGATAGCCAAAACAACACTGAGCACTAAGAGCAATGCTGGGGGGATTACTATACCAGATTTTAAGCTGTATTACAGAGCTATAGTCATAAAAACAACATGGTACTGGCACAAAAATAGACCCATAGATCAATGGAACAAAACTGAAGACCCAAATATGAGTAAATCAGCCACCTGATATTTGACAAAGGGGCCAAGAATATTCACTGGAGGAAAGATGGCATGTTCAGCAAACAGTGCTGGCAAAACTGGATCTTCACCTGTAGAAGAATGAAACTAAACCCTTACCTTTCACCCTGCACAAAAGTCAATTCCAAATGGATCAAAGACCTCAATGTAAAGCCT